GGTGAAAGAGAACTCTTGTTCTCCCATAACAATTCATCTCTGTGTATTCTACTATACGAACCGTCGCCTGATCCACGTGACGTAGACACGTCGAGAGGTTCAGGGGATGCAGCAGGTGTTAGAAACCAGTCCACATCCACACAACAGAAGCACGTTCACGTTAACCAACTATTTTCCTGTGTGTGAACACAGAAACAGCCAACCGGGGCGCATACTCGGGATCAATCCCGAAGGAAATCGTGCGCGAACGCTAGTTTTCACAATGCGCGGCGTGCACGCGAGTTTCCCAACTATTATACGATTGAACTTGTATCAAAGACGAGCTTCAATTCGATGAGGATCGTTTTATGATTTCTTCTGACGGTAATATTTATTAAAAGTTTATGTATATTAAAAAATTTGAATTTTATGTTGCATATTATGGATGATTGGAACGACTTATTTAAATAGTCGTTGGTTGTCCTTCGAATTCGTGAAGATTTAGGAAACTTGCTAAACTACACATTCCTCTAACACGAATTTAAGTGATGTAAATGAAGAAATTTTCTTATTTTGTTACGTATTTTATGACAGATATAAGGTTACCTTTGACTGCATGAAGCATATATGTAATAAATTTTAACCAAAAAAGTTGTTTACAACTCAATGAATTAAAAGACTAAGATCAGAACCTTGTTTCTGCATAATACATCCCGGATAGCACACGACGCCTAATGACGTCTTCAAGACGGCTTAAAGGCGCCTTAGACTTAAAATGTGTGCTATCTGAGATTATACGCTTAGAAAATTGAAATTGTCAATTGCAAATGTGATCTTTTGCATTTATTTATTTATTTTTTTATTTTTGTATGTCACAATACATAAATGGGAAATGAGAAGATGAAATATAATGAAGCACAAATCAAGAACGACACCTAAGAAATTAAAACTGGAAGAATGATGTCAGGTTTTATAAAAGTAAAAAAATATAGGTAATCTAATCAGAAGCTAAATTAAAGACGGCAATAACAATATAGTTCATTCTTCAAACTGAGTACAAAATATTTTGATATGCTAACGAATGTATAATACAAAAATTTTCAATATGAAACCACGCAATTAAAGGCGAAACGATATATGTATAAGGAGTAAAAATAACACAGAATTAAAAGTCTTCACCTATCTTGGTCGATGAAAATATTATAAATGTATTGCAATTCAATGATTTATATGTTTACAATAAACAGTTGAGGTTCAAATGAATTATCTGGTTTTGTAAAGTTTGAAATCAATTATTTCGAAAGAAACTTTGCAATTTGTATTGTATAAAAAATATATACTAATTTCAGAAGATTTAATATCAATTTTCTTTCGATTCAGGAATATTCTTTGTGCCAGGTAGAATATTCAAAGAAGCCTAAACAAATTGATTGAATAATAAAAATAAATATATATAAAAGTTCATTACGATAATACGAGTATACCCACATCGTGCTTAGAATCGAATGAACCTATACTTTATCCCAACGAACTCTTATTCCAGCAAAAATATTAGAACACGCGAAACTCCAAGCAAAACACACCCACATACACACACAGACAAACCCCCGTCATTTCATTAAGGAAAATTAAAGGAGGCACACTTACCTCATCCCAGCTCGCTCTAGATTCTCCTTTTACCGGCTTGAATATCAGTGTTCCCGATGAAATCCTGGACACCAAAATTACCGGTTACATTGTTCGTTTAAACCACCGAGCAACAGGCAACCGTTACAAAAAAAAGAAGAGCCAGTATTCATTTATCATTCTTAAAATATCTTCATCGAAATTGTACAATCACGAGCGACATCGCGACATTTTATCGCGAATAAACGTCGGCAACAGTCGCAGTTTCCGTGCACAAGTGAACACCTTTGATAACTTTAATTACGTGAAAAATTCGCAAGGGCGAACGGAATACAGGTACAATTATCTCTGAGGTCACATTTTATGATAAAGCCTACATTATTAGATCTTTGTCCCTGCACGCCTGTTGCGAGCCAGTACAGTTTGTGGCAAGCCTATTCCGCGGTCTCTATGCCGATCGCACGAGGGGACCATAGAGGTAGCCCGGCGAACAATCGGACACGTTACTGACCACGATACAGAAGACGACGCTACTGTCTACATAGAAGGTCACTGTTTCCTGCTATTAGCCGCCAAACTCGATCAGAAAGTCAAGCGATGATGTACCGCCCGGTCATATAATAAGCCGATATACCAAGTACGACTACCAACGAGCCGTCGCGGACGTAAATCGCGGCCGGGGCCCATGGCAGCGAGCCGTGCGCGAGTAGGATTGGCATTTGCATGCACCGTAACGCGGCTCTGTAGAAAGTGAAATGGTAATTGTGTTCGGTTTATTCTTGATCGCGACAGAACGCGACTCCAACCAGCCACGTACGACTACGTCAATCATTGAGAAGTATCCGTAGCTTATTATTAGACTTACAATTGAATTTGCATAACGAATGCTTGAACAACGACCGATCGCGCATCTAGCATGTCGGAGCAAACGGTCGCATGAACCTCGGAGATGAAATAATTGGCATAGGGTGAACGCATCGATGTATGAACACTTAAGAGGTTTCGTAACTATTAACCTTAGAACGCCTGAGCCTCGAGCTGTCGCGTAAACGCCCAAGAGGGCTTATCTTTTTCATACATATTTCTCCTAACAAAAATTATTTTTTGATAAAAATTTTATGACATTCGATTATATTATACATCGCAAACAAGACGGCATATGTTTTTCCTTAAAATTATTTTTAATTTGTATGTATGTAGGTATATTTGTAAAATAGAATGGTATCGTAAAATAGTATACTAACATGGAACTAGTCTCAATCTGATTCTCCTAATTCTTCCGTTAGTTCAATTCTTCGTTCTGTGATCGTGTGTTATCCTTTGGAGATAAGGAAGGCGTAATATGTATATCGTGTAATAAGACGTAATAGATATACTTTTTCTTATCCACAGTGTTTTTCACATATAGTAACGAAGACTTTTGAATAACAAACCTAAACATGTATACAACAATAAATAATTTTTTGAGAATTTTTTGCAGACGGGAATTACTTATAATTTTACGCTATTCGGCTTGTGGGTCCGAGGAACCTCCACCCCCCGGGCATTCTAGGGTTAAAATCGAATTTTAAATGATACTAACATTCATAAATGTTTGGCACTTCAAGATTAGATTTTTTAATATTGTTGTGCCCGTGGGGGTTCGACGAGAAATATGGAATACCTTGGGTGCGGATGCGTTTGAAGAATTGGAATTCACTGGTTGGTGAGTGGAAAGATGAAAGGATTTATTAAAATTTGGTTTTACGCTCTGTCGCTCGGAATATTTCTAATAGCCCCTACTAGGGCGATTCGCGTGGTTTTTATAGAGTCGTGTTAGTTTGAAATTAAATGGCAGGGATGACCATGTCTGTTACTTTTCATACATTTTTGAATGTTAAAGGGCCACAGAAAATATTATGTTAAAATTGTATTTGTAACTAATAAGAAATAATATGTTTTTTACTTATCTTTAAAGCCATTACGAAATAAAATATGGTATTGGTACATACTATATCTACTATATATTATTAATATAAAAGCTCAGGAAAAATGGTAATGAAACCCAATACTGTCTCGGGAGTTGCATAGAGTAACTTTGGAAACCGCATGTGGCTCACCAGCCACACATTGCACCTTTTTATAACGTATAGATTTCAATTTGAAAAATTGGAAAAACGTGATTAAACTTAAAAAAAATACGGATTTCACCGGTAAATGAACAATATTAACCAGTAAATGAACGCTTCCAACCTATGGCACGAAAATTGTTTGAATATGAAACAGGAAATTGAGAAAATCAATATTTAATGATTTGCTAATTTTAATAACTACATTTACTCGTTTTTATATATGATGTTTATTCACTGGTAAGTGTTCACTTACTGATACATCCACCCTACGACGGATCGCCGTGCAAATGAACTTATGATGAAACGTATTTAGCGGTACACGATTAATTGATTTGTACCGATTTTTTGTCCTACTTTAAGATTCCCTTGTGAACACTGTTGTTCTATTAAAATAGAGAGTTTTATAATATGCTATCTTCTATTATTGCAGTATGTAATTTTAATATTTGCAATTATTTATGGTATAGTGTCGCGTATTAAAAGTTACTATTGCTGTTATTACCACCGAAATTCGTGAAGAGTATTCAAACGAGAGACTGTTCCATGGAAAATATCGGGCACAAAGATTCTTTAAGTTGATAATTGACATTAAGTGGTTTTTATATGGAATAGGACATATATTTAAATATACAGAGTGTATTTTTAAGACAAATTTTACAAAATCCGATTTTTTCATTATCATCTTGATTTTATACGAAAAATATATATTGATGGCAGTTGCAACATAGGATGTAAATGGAGATGGTTACACACACGTGGTGCAATTTTAGAAACAATAGACATACTTTGTTTTATTCTACGTGTAAATATATTCTTTGAAAAAGAAACATTAATATAGATGACCGTAACATTGTAAAAAAAGTTTACATAATAATAATCTCAGTTTTATTGTTTTGTATATTCTAAACGATTTTCCTAAAATAAGAAAGCAATAAACATTGTATTACGAGCAACATGATATGTTGCGTCGTATAAACTCTTATTTTAATAATATTACTTTACTTTTCTAATACGAAGTAAAGAGCTTAGACTGTAAGAAATACAACTAAACGAATATACGTCAATATTACTATCAGGAAAAAACTTTCGCAGTTTCATCCCAATTATGGTATGAGTAAATGATTTAAGTATAAAATATTTAATGCATGAAATCTTCTATATGAAAAATTCAATAAAATAAAACAATTCTAGAAGAAATGTAAGTTCTACCCAGATTAAAAATACGCTTATTTATTTAATTAATTGTCTAGACAAAATAGAGTTACAATTTTCTTTTATGGCTAAATACTTTCTTTTATTATAAAAATACAATGAAAAATATTTATTAACAACTAGACACATTGTACTAGGAAATGTTTCATCTTGCCGTTAGTCCACCTTCTTTTGGCTACCGGTTTTACCTTTCGATTTTGATGGGAATATTACGAATAACGACAGTTGCATCACATTAAGAAGAAAACCTACAACGTTCTGAAACTTTTGAAACAGAAAATATTAGTTTGATAAGCAAGGCTGTACTTGATATGTTATTAAGTATCTACTTACGATTACAAAAACGTTATTAATTATCAGACCATATAACAGCCATTGGAAAGAAACGAGTGTGCCCATGAAAATTAGTGGAAACGGAAGCATATCTGTATTTTTCGTCCTAATAATTTCTCCCTAATAAAATGAAATAAGTTTCATTTCAGAATTATGTGTTGGTAGATTATAATACATAATATACCACTACAGTGACTCACAAATCTGTTTCCATACTATCGAAACAACAATTAAGTATAAACAATTTACTGTCACTCTTATCTACTTAAGCATAAGTAATGCCATTTCTACATCCTCATTCCCTTCACTATAATCACAATAAAATTTACAACTTCCTATGTCCTTTATCAAATAAATACAACATTCATTTCTGAACAAATTTCTGAATCACAAAAATTTATATAATAATTCTTACGTAACCTATAGTATTAATATTAATGTTGAGAGAATTAGCATCACGAAATTTCTGTTAATTGTCCGATAAATAAAATTAATTATACTAACTTTACAAATTTCGCATATTGTTGTTAACATAGAAGACATATTTGTAGTGTCTTGTCAATAATGATTACCAATTAAGTACTTAATAAATGAATGTAAGTGGATGCAATTAAAAAAATAATCAATTTCAAAATGTGTATATTATCAGTTAAAGAAATTTAAAACATCGATTCTGTATACAACAATTATACAATCTGTAAAGATAACGATAAAGAATGCGTTTCAATACATTAAAATCATAATATTCAATGACAAAAGAAGGACATCTCGGTCAATGACAAATTGTAGTAGCAACCAGCGAAGTGTAAAACGGTTCGGCTATCTAATATTGGAGTTGCATAAGAAACATAGAAAATGCAAATCCATCTGAACTCTTTTCTAAATTCCACAAAAACTGTGGTGCAATCAAGGTGAAAGATCATGTCTGATTTTATCGAAAGCTACCAATTACTACGGCGAAAACATTTTAAAATCCCAATTCGGTCTTGCTTCTTTTATACCTTCGATTACATGCTTCTCGCGTGGTCTCCCATGGTTTATGACTTTCCACAATTTCTTATCGCAAGCCAAGATGACTGAGCAATGATGATCGTAAAATATCACGTTGATCGTTACGAGGTAAGTGATTATTAAAAAATAACTATACTATTCTTCGAAACTATTCTAATTAAGCGCTCTTCCATTCTTTCATCGTTTAAAAACTGATTTTTAAAATTTTTTTAATGCGATATTAATGAACTGACGCAATTTTAGGATTTATTTCTTAACCATTGCTTATGACACTATACAATATAAATAAATAAGTAAATATAAGTGTAAAGGTAGCAAACACTTAGAACATTTAATAAATGAAAAAATTGATTCATTTGAGTTGAAAAAGTTGAATTTTTCAACACTCACATTACTTTTTTATACTACCATTTTTTTAGGAAAGCCTATAGACAGATTTAGTGCTTTTTTATACATTTTGGATACAAATAATTCTAAAATATTAACTACTAAAACCCATGCCACCATTTGTGTAAGAAATGGTTTAATCAAGTGACATACGAGAATAAACGAAAGAAAAAATATACATAACTGTTTACATAAAAAATAGTCTGATATTCTCCATAAAAGAAATATTTTAAACTGACGTAGCATAAATGAGTTCAATAGAATAGCTTATTTAATGTACATTAGTAAGCTTATATAATCCTCAGACTACTGACAATTCCAATAGTCGCGGAGGCGACCACACTTGGGTTCACTCAGGTTGAGCTTTTATGATTAAAACGACTAATTTTACCGAATTTTTCTTCTCTCTAACGATAGTTCTATTTATACGATAATTCATACCGTTGTCAAGCATAAAAAGTCAAGTGCTTCACCTAATAATTATTAGTTTTTGAACCCATATACCCCAATAGTTTTTTACACAACGTTCAACACTCATTCCGACTGCAGGGTCAAATTTTACACATTTCAATTAAAAAACTCAAGGTGACCTTCATGTCTCGTCGGAAGAGAAAAATAACAAGAAACTAATTATTATATTGTATGACCCCATTGATAACATACGACTTTGGTTTGTAAATCCAAATGTTTTCCACTTGTTCTTGATTTACTGAAGAAACATTAAAAGTACTATTTTTTTATTACATCAGTTTTATAACAAAATATCCTGTTTTTCTTATTTTTATGAAAAACTTCCCTTTAATTATTTTTCCGTAAATCAGAATTGAGTAGGAAACTTTCGAACCCTACTACCCACATTAACCTTCAGAAGCTGAGACCAGTTAAAGTAAATAAAGGACCGATGTAGTAACGAGACAAGTATTAAATAGACGAAAATATACTTACAAGATGTATAAGTGGAGACCCTATTAAGAGAAACAGTAAGATTGTCACGATTAAACCGAATCGGTATTCGACCTTCTCAGGACTTTCCAGTTGAGCGTACGCGAGGAAGACCATCACAAAGGCTGCAACCTTGCCTATTAAAGCAAGTGTATCCGTCTAAAATGTGTAGGACATGTTAAAGTGTTTATACAGGCCGTGACATTAATAGCAATATTGCCAATGGAACTCTTCGGTTCTTCGCCAAGATTCAACTCTCTCAAAATACGACATATTTTCATTATGATTTACGATTACATGATATGTAATGATGACTGGATTGTGAATTTTTTCTGGTAACCACCAGAAAGTTTAATGCGTTTGGACCTTATTTGTCAGTGGATAACAATTGATTACAAACATATTTAAAGTTCAAAATTATAAGAACCCAATTTGAAGGATGTGTGTCAAATATGGGAGAAAAGTGATAAACATTATATAGCACATGACAAAAAAATGTATAGAAATGGAACACCAAGTATGTTGTAGAACAAGACGTAGCTTTTGATGTAGTGAGAAGGTGGCACAAACATATTCAACAAAGGTAATGTATTCAGAAACAACATCATGCATGTTATCATATAAGTAAGGACTCGTACCGTGTGTGGTGAGTAATAGTAATACACAGCCATATAGGCTATATTTGTGAGTAATCCAAAAACATTAACATTAATCATCGCAGGATCCCTCAAAATCAATGCATACCGAAGCATCAAAATGCACCTATAAAAAATGCTGAATTGACTATACGTACACAAAATAAATACTTAAAAAATTATGTAATTCCTTTACAGTCACAAGAAAAATATCTACACAAAATACATTTACTGAAAATTATATCATGTAGCATTAATTATCAGTTACTACACAAGGACAATATAGTTAATTGAATGTCCAATACATTACTAAACTAAAGAATTGTACACTCACATTCCTATACCACCCAGGAAGGGCATTGGATCAAAACCTTTTGATGATCCTTTTTTGTAAATGTCCTTGCATATTAATCTATAATTAAATCATAAAATAATTAATCTATTGCAGCTAATACATATTAATATAAAAAATAACAGCAGATTTAAAGATATGTATATAGAGTTTTATAAAATATATATATATATATAGAGAGAGAGAGAGAGACTTACTCAAAACTCAGTTATTCTATAGTTACAAATGCAACTTAAAAAATTCAGAAGAAAGTTTTTTTCTTAATTTGTAATAAGTATTAATAAAATTCTTTATAAACAAAATATTCCATTGTTTTTGTATTTCAGTTTGAGTAAATGCGTTATTACTATATAGCAGTAACTGATTCTACACTTATGAATATTCATGAGTCATTGTGTCTAATTATTCTATTCCCAAACTATTATTTGATCAGCACTTAAGATTTTTAAAGCCTTAAATTCCATGTTGCTGCCAATGTGCACGCAAGTTGTTTATAGCAAATCTTGCATCAAACTTATAACCATAACTTTATAACAGGCATTGGATAAAATTTGGCTTTGCTGGTTTGGCTGACTGGGTATATTTATTTTACTCTATATAAGATACATTTTATACATTGAATTAGAATTTAAAAAATTTACATTAATATTTTTATTTATAAAATTCAATATTAAGTAGAAGAAAAATTTACAAACAAAAATGGCTTATGCAACAGATATAAAATATTTATGCGTGAACAAACAGTACATACACCTATGTATAAGATAAGATATAGTTTGGTGAACATAATGCTGTTTGGAATATCAAAAAAAGTTATTATGTAATTATTAAAGGAAAGTCCAAACTGTTTAATAAAGACTTTGCTACTGACTTTAGATTACTCAAGAAGAAATACGATATGCACGTGCTCCAAATCACGTAACTTATATTCAACAGTTGTATACATTATCTAGTAACTCAGATTCATTTGATTTTGCCGCAATATGCTATATATTTCACAGCAGATCGATTATCTATCGAAAATCTCACATGGTAACAATCACGGATCAATCGAAAAATTTAAACGCACGTTACGTTGAAATATATATAGATGATTGTCAAACGAGTATAAATATAACTGATCTGTCACATCTCCCATGCTACAGCGCATTTCTTTTAACTGACGTTTAATTCTACATATATGTCAAAATAAGCAAACATACACGTATGTATGAATTAAAAGAAAATTAATTATTTAAAAAGTAAATGAACTCACGTTCCAGCCAACATTTGTCCCATAGTGGAAATCAAGGCACATATTGCCACGAATTCTTTATAATCCTCGAGACCCATTGTACTTCACAGTTGTACTCGGCAATCGTGCAATTACATACTACGAATCATTTCATTGCTTTGAAACTGCGTACATTGTGTGGCACGTCCCCGGCTTGAAATGGGGGGATTAAACAGAACGATAATGACAGGACAGGTGTAGTTATTTTATTTCCATCTACGATGCTACTGTCCCGCCCCGTTGCGACACATAGACGTACTTTTACACTTATCGACTACAACCTTTCTAATTTCTACTTCTGGATAAGTATGTATGACTTACAATTTAACTGTCAAGGAGAAGTTACTACGTGACGATCGTAAATATTACATCACAGAAAAAAGATACGAGGAATTTTCCATTGTTATATATATAACGAATCGATTGAATGGGCTTGCTCGGCTTTTAACTTATCTTGCGAAGTGTCCTCATATGTACTGTAATATCTCATATCTGCTCATATCGTTCAGTTAGCGTATGTAGCAACGTTCTTTATTTTAAGTTTCGTTATTACTAAAATACTTAAATTCGTTATTATATAGTAGGAGCTTGATAATTCAGAGATAAAGAAAATCTCGTTGTAAGAAAGAGATGCAGTAGACATTCGTTTCCTGCGCTACCGTTATCTGCACGAAAGCCACGCCCCTTGCTTACACGTATTTCTGACCACGTGTGCGTACCCTACTCTGTCGTCCAGCACGCCCAGGCCGAAACGCACATACGGTGTCGCGTTTAACACGCATATGTCATCACAGAAAGCGAAGTGTATATAATACTGTTTTAATAATGTTTTTATTGGTGCAATGAATATTGATGGAATGAATATTGGTGGCAATTTGATTGCTTCTTGTCTCGCGGATCACACGTAATGGGTAATAGATGCTAACCAAGCTAAACATTTGTCACTAAAATATGTCACGAATTATTACCTTTTCCACATAATACCTTAATACTTTATTACACAGAATGTTTGGAAGAATCGATTTATGTAATAAAAGTATTTTATTCCATAATATTTCAATATCATTAATAAAAATAACATAATTAACTTTGAAAACTTATAAAATACTCCACCTACGAAAAACTTGTTACTGCTAAGTAATAGCCCTCTTCATACTGAACAACTTCTGTGAATAAACTTTTCTGATATCTCTAAAAATAACGGAGATAATTAATGTAACCGTAAAGTGTGCACATCCAGCCCACCCTACACATAGCTGCGTCGCACGACTGAACGGCCGAGTGGTGAGGAAAGCGCCAGGTAACTGGTCACCAATTCCTGCACGGTTCCTGGAATTCTGGTCCTCTACACTATCATATACCTAGTCGATACTACTATCCACCCCTTTACCGCGAATCTTACTCCCCCGCTCAATTAATGCTCCGTCTATATATGTCTATGGCTTATATGGTGTAAGGAACGCGTTACAAAATTCAGAACATGAGTTTTACCTTCTATCTCTTGCGTGTAAATCTATTTGTGTTCACTTCAACTTTTCTCTATGAGAAGGCGGCGTATATGAAGTAACATCTGAAACAAGACAATCTTTAGCAATTTTGTAAAAATATAACACAATTCATACAAATTTACAATTAAAAATTTATTATAGTTTCCTGAACATGTATTAAAACTTATCAGTTATGAATTGTGTGCTTTTAATTAATAGTTACTTAAGTAATGACAAAACTAAGCATTAGGATCGAGATGATAAGAAATATAGATTTTCTGGCATAATTCTTGACACCAGGCCTGTTATATTTCTGCTGCTAGTTTACTGTCAGTACTGCTGTAGCAGACCCTCTAGCACATTTGCAGCAAATCTGCACAATCAGGTCTACAGCAGAATCTAGTAATATATGTTTAGAGCAGGTCTGCTGACTGGGTGTTATTAGTCCATTTGACGCTAAAATAAACGAACTAAATGCTCATTCACTTTGTCTATCAAAATTACATGCCTTGATCTAATATTGCAGAAGTTTATAATTACTGCATTTTATGGACTTTTTAAAAATATGTCCTAATATTGAAGCTTCATATGTGTTAATTGTAACGTATCCGCAACTTGCTATGAGCTCGTGCTCTATCCATTTTTGTTTCATGCTGAAGTCTCTAGAAAATTCAAATCAGTTCTATTATACTGCTATTATACACGAATCTATTGCAGTGTGTTCCACTGTCAAATTTCAGGATGGCGGACAATAAAAACGATAAAACGAAAGTTGATTTAGGATTGTTGGAGGAAGATGATGAGTTTGAAGAATTTCCTGCGGAAGGTATGAAAACTTGAAAGTACAAATACGTCATATAAAATAATAAAACCTAACCTCAATGTACTGAATGACTTGGTAGATTGGACCGCAGTAGACGAAGATAATGAAGATATTAGTGTTTGGGAAGATAATTGGGATGACGACGACGTAGAAGACGATTTCAATCAACAATTGAGGTAATTTTTGTATTAAATATGTGGGTAATACAAGTGCATTAACACGTTCAAAAGGCAAAAATGCATTCTCTATTCATACGTCCAAGAAAGCGATATGGTACGCACGTATCTGAGGGATATAAACATTACTCTTCAGTTTCACGTTCAAAGAAGTGATTAGCATGTTCTGTAAACAAGTCGCATTTTTTATTTCCAGCTCTCCTTTAGCTTTTTATTAGTTTTGAGACAGTTCTCTGTTGCAACACATCGGTTTTCTTGTTCTTTGTTATATTACATTTTTAAAAACTTAAGTTTAGTTAATTTACATAATTTTATAATTGGTATTAAGTGCATATAAAGTATACAATAAACCAATTTGCATGGAGTTGTTTAATACACAACAGTTGTACAAGTCAGATATTATATTTCTTATAATGCTATTGAAGTATTAATATATATCTTATTTTTTTATATTTCATTAAATTAATTGTAATGTTGAATTGAATTATTCCTACTATGTAAATAACACTCATAATTTAATTACCTGTATAAAATTTGAGGAACAAACTGCTCTTTATACAAAAAAAATATGACTTATAATTTCCAACTCTCCTGAACCACCTGTGGGTCTGAGGACGTGTGAGTAGCGAGTATATTGACTCATAGGTCTTTTACATTTACAGTAACAAAATAGTTTATAAATTGTTTTTTAAAAGAATTGTAACACTTGTTTATGCTTTAAAAATTCAGTGTATTTATATTACAGTATGATGTAATGAATCATTGTTACGAAGGCTGGTGAAAATATAAAAATATATATATATATATTTATTACTTGAATTAACACAATATTAATAGCCTCTGTAAGAATATGATACATTTTGTCACATTATATGTATTGAAACATGCAATATATTATACAAATATGATTATATTTTATGAAATGCAATTATTTATTTCAGAGCGCAATTAGAAAAACAGAAGGCTCAAACTGAACAAGGGAAGGAGAATTAGTTAAGAATTAAAAATTGGTAATCATAAGAATAAATATGTATTAGACTGTTAAGATCTTGAGTATACTTAAATTTCATGTGTATTGATAGACTTTTATTAATTGTGAAATATAATCATTTTTCATAAATATTTGTACAAAACTTAAACATTAAATACGAATTTACAGTTTAAATGCATGTAGTACCTAATATGCACATTGCATATCATTCGACTTATAGGAGTCATGTTATTTTACTGGAAAAGATACTTGGCATTCTTATTTTAAATATGTAATCAGGTACACAGTTTGGTTTTGAAAACTTTATAGTTCTAAATTGTCAACAGATTTTCTACATATGGCACATCAATTCCTTTTTGACTAAAATATATTTCAATACTTAATGATTTCATATAGCAATAATTTGAATAATGTATATGTTTGCACGTATTGTACTGCCATTTTTTAAATGAATTTAAAGAAAAATATTAAATTATTAAGAAATTACATTGTCATTAGATGATCTACATGAAATTAGTAGTTGTGATACTAAAACATCTAATATCTGTAAGTTTAAGTCAACATTAATTTTTTTTATTTCATAAGAACCAAGTAGATATCTTAGAATATTTATCGTATCGTCCTCGCCAAATATGAATCTCACATCATTTGATATTGTAAGTATTTCCTGCAACAGTCTTTCTTTTACATGCATTAGAGGCTCATCGGAAATTTCGCTTTGTACATCATGAATTGTTTTATTACCCAAGTAATCAAAAATTTGAAATGCTGCAGTCTGTAAAATTATGAGAAATCAGTAATTATTTATCAAACTACTAAGAAGAACAGATATTTATGATAACGAAAGATAAGTAAGAAGTATTATGAATAGTTGTTACTTGTAATATGGTTTCAGTGACATTTCCAAACAGTAATTTTGTCCATCTCACAACTGCTTCTTGTTGTAATGTGTTATTACTTCCAATACCAGCTAACAACTCACAAATAACATCTATAGTGACACATGTTAATGTTAAATGAGAATCCAATTCATCTGTTTCTTCTGTCAAAGAAAAAAGGAGATAAATATAAAAATTTATGATTTGTTTTTCCAGTCTCCCTAAGACTTTAAGTAATATATATGTATTGAATTTACCTTCGTAACAGTCTTTTACCGTTTCTAACCAGTGAGCTATCAATGCAGTATCATTGCTACCCTCCATAGAATCAACAGCTTCATAAGCTGTGTCTACAGAATAGTAATCAGTTCTTTCAGCAACTAGCTGTTGCAGTTCGTTTGCCAGACTTTTCTGTAAAAATTAAAAAACGCAAATAACAATATAAGGAATAAAAATTGTAAAATATGTAAAGCACTACTTTTATCAAGACGTATATTATATTACCGATTTAATATCCTCGACAAATCTCCATGGTATATCAGACAAGGGCATCAATGTGGGTAATGGAATGCTTTCTTCTTCTTGTTCAACTTCAAACCCTGGAACGACTGTCTTCAAAGTGTTGAAAACTCCACTTACAGTTTTGGCCAAAAATCTATCGAGGCGAGGTGCAACAATATCTGCCTTTTTACCAGCGCTACTGTTTGGTCGCAAAAAATGTCGTAACTGTGGTGGACATTCACTAGCTAAACGCGTAGTTAGAGTTTTTAAATAATATTCCAACTCTATGCGCCCACCTTCTGGTAATACTAAATCTGTCATAACATGTACTAATTCCGGCATCTATAAGTTGTATATTGCAATAAGTAAATAGAATAAAGTATTTAAAAGATCTACACTGTTTAGTTTTCAATATACCTCTTGCAGACTAGCATGTAACTGAGTAAAATCTCGGTATTGTCTTCTAACAGTTGCAGTTGTAGTTTCAAATAAGTCAACCCCACGTTGTTCGACATCATCAAATTGTATACAATAAAGTAATTGTTGTGAACCATCAGGGGCTGTATGAAACTCTGTCCAAGGAATCATTAAATTTGTAAATTGACTACCTTCGTAAACCACATACGATTTTTCTTCCATTTGTCTAAAAATGTAGAATGTCAGAGGATGTACATTACATTGTTAAAATTGAAATATATTTTTCACTCACAAAGGAGTAGTCACAGTTGACTTTTGTTGCAATACAGTTCTCAGTCTAGCAATTGTTGTAGCAAAATCTGTGGTTTCTTCGTATACTGGAGATACTTTCTCTTCATCTATGTCAGCATCCACTTCCGACATACTTTGACACCAAAGACCCCTATGTTCTGTAGGTAAATTGTCTAAACGTAAGATAGGTCTTTTTTCATTTAAAGTTACTGAATTATTTTTATTCTCAGTTGAAGTTTTCATGGATGAGTTCAACTTTGATTTTGGTAGTGGCCGTGGAATTATAGCAGCTGTTGAAGATGTTATACCATTGCATAAAGCATCAGATATAAACTTCTAAAAAATCACACTATTAATTCAGACAAACTAACTGATTAATAATTACCAGAAATTTATAAAAATATACTATACTTTTGTGCAGAATACGTTTTCTTTCTCTTTATTTTGGACTTCAGCAACTTCTTTTGATACAGGCTGTAGTAACTCTGATAAACTTTGAAAGAACCAATTTGGAGAACTAATTGTATCTATAACTAATAATAATCTTCTTGCTACAATAGATAATAATAATTTACATGGCAAGGAACTTGTTAATTCCCATTGTAAAAATTCTTGTGCTAAGATAGTGATCATTCTATGAAGCATATGTTCTAAAGTTGATATATTACGAGAACCAGGATGTAAATACTTGAATGCTTCTTCCATACTTTTTGCTGCCCCCTTTTCTACCCGACGTGATGCTCTATAACAAAATTTAATTACTTGTAATAGCAATTTATTACTATTATATAAATAAAAAATCATACCTGTGATATTCTTTAAAATGTAATAGTAACACATTAGCTAGCTGTTGGGTAAGTTTCATTTTGTCTATTAAAATGATTTGATAAAACAATTTAGTCAAGAATTTTCTAAGTAATTCTTTTGCTTCATTAGGAAATGATTTGTCATTACTAATAGATTTATACCATACTTGTATACACTTTGAATTCATTTCTTTTACTATATCATTTACTCGTATCACTTTCTTTCTTTTTGAAGAAACACTTCTAGCACTGGAGGATGTCTTTCCACTTATTTTCTCTGTTTTTGATTCAATATCTATTTTTTTATCAGTAAATATTTTTATGGATTTTAAATTCTGATTTATTTTTATGATATCATCACATTTGTGATTGTAGTCTTTGTCCTCAGTATCATATAATTTCAGACTTCTTGCTAACTTTTGGTATAACCAGTCATTAAGGAATGCTATGTTAAGTGGGACTTTTGCTTTCATTGCAAGTTGAAGTAAGAAACAACTGAACCACACTGACATTATTATAGTAAAAATAACCCATAATACAGATACATAGATTGATAATGGTGTGAGACCTGCCCATTCTTGTATGACTAAAGACATAGTAGCACTTGAAATACTTAAAATCAACATCTGGTTCAACCAGCTCATTGGAATAATGTTCCCCATTGTAAAGATAATATATTTATGGTAACTTTAACGTTGTACTTTGTGCTGATATAATATAAATCTGTAACAAACATAATTTTATTATACATCATTGTTTTACTGAGAACAAAATACTTTTCTATACAACTCTTCAAATTAATCAAAAAGTATTAAGATTACTTAAAATTTTATGTTGTGAGACAATGTGTCCTATTTGATATTAATCCAATAACATAATATTTTTGTTACAAAAATTATATAATAGAAAAATAATAAAAACTGTATTTAAAGCTAGGAAATAATATATTGAAAATAATACTGTAAATACTGAAGTAACATCAATTCAGATACTTTGCCAAATTAAGATACTTTGAGAAAATGCATTGTAACTAGGCTACAGATGTTTATGCAAATATATATTTTTATAAACACATTCACTAATATTGTAAATAATCCTGTAAATAAAATAAAAACTTCATTACATTTTTTAAACTTTTTACTGTTTCATACAAATATGTATACTACAGATCCATAAAATCCGCAATATAATTATAATATTTACTTTTCTTCAAAAGGTGTTGAAATTGTTTTAGTTGTGCTAATTGAGTTGTAAAACATACCTTGAATTCTTTAAAAAATTTTCTATTATTGACATCTTGATTCCGAATGTAACCTCGGTATTTTTCATTCTTGCTCAAATTTAATCACCAAATTCCCATTTTGTAAATTTCATTGTTTTATATAGTATGATATTCGTAAGTTACTAACTCACATTTCTCGCGTTCTTTTGCACGTGAAATTCGACGAACATTTTACTTTTGTTTTTGTTTAACACACGAGGTAACACACGAATTACATCTTCGTATACACGGCCATGCTCATTCCTTTCATTGTCATCGTCATTACCATTGTTTTAATAGAAAATACATTGTTGTCACAATGTAATAACTGTGACGTAGCACGAGTGACACTTTACAATATATATCGTGTTAAATCACGCTGAAATAGATATAGTACTCACAGTGTAACGTACTTACAGACGTATTTAATACTGTATGACGAAAACGAGGTTACACAAGTAATTTTCTCCCAGTTTTTGTTGATAAAGAGCGCGCTCTAACATATGGTCAGTTGTGACATGTGTATGCATGTATGTATATAAATAGGTGCGAAATGATTGAGTATGAGTTTTATAGATATCTAGGTCATACGTACCCTTTAGTTAAAGCTCGGAGAAAAATTAAACCGATTAAACCGTTGTCAACCAGATAATAGTTTTTAAATGTATTCGATGCTTTATGCTTCACAGATAGATAACAATGCAGTGTTATCACAGTAACCTTTTTTTGTTCGTATTGTGTTACTAGACTAGTATAACAGTAAGTATACATATACAGGGTATTTATTTGAAAACTTCCAATCAAAACATCTGTTTTTTAAAAATATTTCTGCATTCCCTTATTATTCTATTTTTTGGATCCCCTTTGTTTTATTTAACTTTCCATCCTCTGCTTTAGGATCCAAGTAGCGAAACTGAAATAAATTTTTATTTTATTAAATATCTTTTTAAAATGACGCCCGATAAAAAAATGACCTATACAAAAGTTTCTTCTTTTTTCCCGTAAAATAAGAATTTATGAAGAAAAATATAGATTTCTATTTGAAAAAAAGAAAGTTGATTTTCAAATAATTTTGTAAACGTCTAATAAATAAAAAATAAATAGGGTAGTTGTATTTCCTCTGAAACGGTGAAACTTTTATATTTGACATTCTTCCCGAAAATGTGCTGTTTTCGAGATACATATTTAGATTTCAAGTTTTCAAACTAATACCTTATATAACACTAATTTCCCTGTCAGCCAAATCTGCACAGCCAAATTTTGTCCAATGCTTGTTATAAAGTTATGGCTGCAAGTTTGATGCAAGATTTGCTATAAACAACTTGTGCGCACATTGACAGCAATATATGCAGCAAATTGGTTTGTGCAGATTCTGTTCCGTTTTTGTCCCCAATTTGACACAAGTTATGTTGAAAGACTTGCTGCCAATTTGCTTTACCATTTTGTCAGCTGGTGTTGGTTTTTCAGACAACTTTTGTCATTATTTGCTGGCAATTTGCTCAAAATTTGTACACAACTGGTTATCAGGTTATCAGTTCGGTTGATTGTTACGTCAAATTGTTTTATAAACTCCCAAATAAAATGGTATATGTTGTTATTGCATTATGAACATTTAAACATATTTAAACAACAATCAAAGAGAAAAGACACCCGAAATACACCCATTTTTTCAAATATTTTTCAACTTATTTCAAAAAGTAAGGGCCTAGGAAAAATTCTGTCTGCGCCACGCGATACAGCAGACATTTTTCCTTCGAAAAGCATTAACAAAAGTAGTAAGTCACGGTTTTTGTTCAATACTGAAACGAAATTGTTTGGCTAAATATGCGGTGTCGACAGTGGTACTCAATGACGCGGCGCGGCGGCGGCAGGCCCGACCCACTGGTACGCTTGGTGCAGTCGGAATTTCTCGTAGACTAGTGTCCTTTTCCATTAGATTGTTGTTTAAACGTATTTAAATGTTTATAATGCAATAATAACACATACCATTTTATTCAGGAGTGTTTATAGAATAATTTGACGTAACAATCAACCGAATAAGTATTATTGTTTGAACACAGAAAATGTTCAAAGTTGAAAATTTGCATTTTATTTCAAAATCAAAAACTGAGCGGAAAATCGTTCGCAGATTCGTATTCAGGGCAGAAAAATCTATAAGAACGGGCTATTGAATATCCAAAGTCCGAAAAAAGTTAAAATTTGTTGAATGGTGTAATCGTCAATTATCCTATGTAAAATTAATTTAAATTTATCACTTCATACTTCTTTTTCCTTCACTCACGACCGGATAAATTAGAAGACTATGAATATATGAAATTATTATAATTTTATATAATTCTTGAAAGGTAAATAGCTACTCATCTTCCTATCGTATGCATTTGCTGAATATTGGGCAACGTCCAGGCACGATACAGCAAAATTGATTTCAAATTTAATTTTGATTACGAATAGGATGCAACAAGGCAACAAGTATTTATAGATGTATACATAAAATAATGTATCTAATAAAACATTATAATAAAAATCATTTTCATTAGAATTAATTAAGAACTTCTAATTTTTATGCTGTTAATGAGATTTGAACAAATTCTGATCAATTTCATTGTATGCATTTATAATTGCGGTTCAAACTTTTCAATTGATAGCTTTTTTTTCATTTTTATAAATATGGAAAATAAATATTGTATAAGTATTTTCAACGAAATCTACATCGACTTCCATGATCAATTCATTAGTAAAAATCTGGGCATTTAAAATTTCAAGAATTGTACAAATCATATTAAATACTTTCATTCGACATAGATCATCGTATTAAATTTGACAATTAATTTACAATAAAAAGCGAGAAAGAACACAATTCAATACACTTGAGAACAATGAAAATTCTTCGCCACTGTCTCAAAAGAATATAATAGACTTTCTATAACAATGGTTTTATTTAATATGTACCACTTCAGAAGGAATGTATTTCTAATAATACCTAATCGAAATTATTAATATGTACTTTCTTAATCATTCATTGAAATTTAAAATTTTACCTACCACAGTCTACATAAATGTAGATTGTAATCAGCATTTACCAACAATCAAAGTGTCTGAACTTAATGAGTCACGACTGGTAGTGATGTGATCATAAACCTTTGGCGGGGACCGTTAATATACAACAGAACGATTGGATCGGATCTCATTCGTTAAGTTCATACGTGTAACAATAGCGAACACGAGGGGCGTGTAGGTTATGACTTCATGCGTAGTCAGTCGAACCAATCCGTTTCTCCCCCTGTGTCAGCATTTTCAGCACGTGTCCGATATCCGAAGAGAGACAGCGCGCGCGATAGGAGTCGGTTTAAACTGGCGCGAGTCCACCCCATGCAGGTGCACGCACGCGTGCATACGCCGCTTCGGAGAGTGCGGCAGGGCTCTAATTTTAGTCGTCGAAGAGTCAGAATAAACGTAAGTCAGCGTGGGGCCTTGTAAGGCTAGAAGATGTTCCCGGGGACCCCCGGTATGCGCTCCCCGACAGCCATGGCATCCACGTATTTGACTACCGACAACTCTATTTTTGCTATTTCTTCATTTGTACCGGAGTTTTGCCGGTCGTCTTGGGTTACGGTTCATCCGTTGGTTTTCCTTTAAGGAAACAGCTAAAACGGATCTCTAGCGGCCAGCCGGGGATACCACGTCGAAGATGAGACGAATTTGTTGCATACTGAAGCATTAAAAGGAGGGGGTTTTCGAGAATCGAGATTAACCGGAGGATCGTTCGCGTGAAACAATGTAAAACAAACTACGGACATGTTTGTTACGTTGAAAATTAGAGATCAACGGTTGAAGGAATGAAGAGGTAGTAAATAAGTTTACTAAAAGTTCACACGAATAAATCTTGAAGATTTGTACTGCGATCTCTGGCTAAGCGTTGATCGCGATTCCACGTGAAAGTTCAGCAGTCGTATAGATACTGGCTATATATGTATATACTATTCTTAAGTTGGAGTAGCAAGAACTGCTGACCTTTAATGTTGATTTGTACATAGACGAAATTCAATTGACACGATATATTTTTGAATAATAAAGTTTCTGTCGAAAACTTCTTGGCCGTATTCAATCAGAATTTATGCAAAAGAGGTTGGTGACTTTTCGATTTTTCGAGCGCTTCTAAAGGATCTTCTTTCTCCTTGCCATCGAAGTGAACGAAAATATAGTTACTTAAAGTTGCACATAGATTGGCTGTTTGCCAAGGTACACTGTATCCAGAGTAAAATGTCATGAGAAACCAAAACACAATATTTCTCTCGAACTTCTCCGGGTATGAAATCGCAATTTGTTCGCGTCCATTATGTCATCGTGTTGAACATTCGCCAAAGATATCGACCGCGATAAGGTTCACATAATTCGACATCGACTTATTATATAATACAGTTTTATTATCATTAATTATATGATATAATAAGAAGAACAATACGCCAGGCAGCAATATGAGCCGACGTTGATGCGCCTGGTTACGGTTTTTTCGTCGTATACTTTACACTCTCGTCGATTACCACCGCGTGCGTATCGCAAAATGCCGAATTACGTGCGCATACGATTCCAAGAAAGCCTTTGCGTGTATATGTGTGTATGTATGCATGTAAGTCTGCGTATACATGTTTTCAGGACCGAGATGGGGCTCGTTGCATAGACCGAGGAGATTATCAATAAATTAATTAACGTTAATAACAAACAGTCGTGTTGTATAAACTACAAAGTAAAGTACAGTCTGATAAATGTGTAGAATAAAGGCACTTCAGTAATTTTTATTTCCCAATCCTCATACCCCCGATGCTACTTTCTTCTCTCTTTCTTCCCTCTAACATCGGTACGTCAATATTACCAGAGACCGTGGCTCGCAAAAACAACGAGCACCAATAGAAAAAAAAAAGAAAAGAAAGCAGGTGAATAATCGTAAATCCCCCGAGCTCGGTGTAACACCTTAGAAGCACTTGCGGTGTACGATACCGGGACCGGATTCGTCGTATTCCTGCTTGGAGATCCACATCTGTTGGAAGGTGGACAGCGAAGCCAGGATAGATCCACCGATCCATACGGAGTACTTCCTCTCGGGGGGAGCGATGATCTTGATCTTGATGGTCGATGGGGCGAGGGCAGTGATTTCCTTTTGCATACGATCGGCTATACCGGGGTACATGGTGGTACCACCAGAAAGTACAGTGTTGGCGTACAGATCCTTACGGATGTCGACGTCGCACTTCATGATGGAATTGTACACGGTCTCGTGGATACCGCAAGATTCCATACCCAAGAAGGACGGCTGGAAGAGGGCCTCAGGGCAACGGAACCTCTCGTTACCGATGGTGATGACCTGTCCATCGGGCAACTCGTAGCTCTTCTCGAGGGAGGTGCTGGCGGCGGCGGTGGCCATTTCCTGTTCGAAGTCCAGGGCGACATAGCAAAGTTTCTCCTTGATGTCACGGACAATTTCACGCTCAGCCGTGGTGGTGAAGCTGTAGCCTCTCTCGGTCAGGATCTTCATGAGGTAGTCGGTCAAGTCGCGACCGGCCAAGTCCAAACGGAGGATGGCATGGGGAAGGGCGTAACCTTCGTAGATGGGGACGGTATGGGAGACACCATCACCGGAGTCCAAAACGATACCGGTAGTACGACCGGAGGCGTACAGGGACAGGACGGCCTGGATGGCGACGTACATGGCCGGGCTGTTGAAGGTTTCGAACATGATTTGGGTCATCTTTTCACGGTTAGCCTTTGGGTTCAGGGGGGCCTCGGTGAGTAGGACTGGATGTTCCTCAGGTGCAACACGCAATTCGTTGTAGAAAGTATGATGCCAGATCTTCTCCATGTCATCCCAATTGGTAATGATACCGTGTTCTATAGGATACTTTAGGGTAAGTATACCTCTTTTACTTTGGGCCTCGTCTCCTACGTAGCTGTCCTTTTGACCCATACCGACCATCACACCCTGGAAGGAGATTCGGAAACCTCAGTGATTTGCGACCACAGTAGGATAAATATCCTTTTATAAGGTCACAAATAAATTATATGTCTGACGAACCTGATGACGCGGGCGGCCAACAATGCTGGGGAAGACAGCACGGGGTGCATCATCTCCAGCGAATCCCGCCTTGCACATACCGGACCCATTGTCCACGACTAGTGCCGCAACATCATCATCACACATCTTGATTTGGTTTTAGTTACTTTCTGTAAAAATAGTATCGAACACGTAAGGTACTTTAATGTTTTATCTTTTTTTATGTGAATATTAGTTAGGGCCCGCGAAGATTGATTAACTTCGTATTTATCACTGAGTTAAATTTGTTAATAACAATCGTGAGTAATTTATGCATAGTATCGGGGATTATGAAAAAACAATTTGTAAAATAAAAATGAATATCGGAATTAATTAATATCGGAAGAAAATTATCGAATTTTAATGACAGAGAAAGTAACAAAGTTAAATACAGTGGATAATTGTGTTACTAGAGGCAAAGTATTTTAAAAGGAAAATCCAATTGAATAGACAGTTTGTTGAAACTAAAGAAATGTTAACCATGGAACACATAAAATATTGCCCTTAATAGCATCCTGCTTGATCAAGAGATTACATTCCTCGTTACTTCGTCAGATTGATTAAGATGATTAAATTTAGTATTAGTATTAAATATAACAGTCAGTAAGCACACGTATTAGAATCACAATTCGCGGAGTACGTAACACTTTCACAATAATCCGCGGTCATGCAAGCTCAAACAACATGTTCAAGTGATCGACTGCGCTCGGTCCTCGTACGATTTGGACGGGGTTGTCGTTCGACTTCTGCCGCGCGTATATCACTCAGAAACGGCAAATAAATTCCACAAATACGGAAACTCCCGATGTCCACTGTATCCGTGGTGGTACCGATCCCAAGTCCTAGATCGCAAGGACCGAAGCAGTCCACGAGTACCGTTCTCTCAAATTAAACGATCGAGAGGCAAAGCTTGCTGGGTACCTCACTGTACAATTATCTGTATTGGATGCAAATGCAAGACACTCGTTCAATTTACCGTTCACTAGACGAGTCGAAATATCGGCGACGGTCGCTTTGGGGCGTACGTCGTGCAAGAGACCGAGAGCGGCGAGTGGCACAGTGCCGGCTCTGTGGGGTCCCTTTATCCATATCGGTTCGCAGCCGAAAATAGCGATCCGCCCCTTAGATGGAAATCTATCGTGCATTAACACTCGTCTCAGCCCGCCGCCACCGCCTAGTCCTTAGCCGCCCTAACAGCGACGTCGAGAGGGAGAGACGCTGTGCGTCGCGACGAAGCGGCAGCCGACGGCCCCCCAATCCAAATAAGGACTCGTCACGCGCCAGGGCTGTGGTTCGTTGGGCGCTAATCAGCGATGGTCGAAGGGCACCGACGTTATCACTGATTCGCGCCAATAATATCGATTTGTCATCGATAAGGAGGAATGCTTTGTTCACGCTGATATTCAAGATTATGATATTTTTCAAGTGAGATTGAAATAAATGTGAAATATTTAATCATTCAAAAGGCAATTTGCGTGTAACTAATAAATAGAAATAGATTTATGTATCAGTAATAATTAAATTTATATATTATTAATTTAACAGATATATTAATAAATAAGAATAAATTTATATATCATTAATTAAATAGATATATTAATAAATAAAAATAAATTGATATATCACTGATTTCCAACAAGGAAATGCATATATCATTAATTGAATAGATATATTAATGGATAGGAATAAATTTCAGTATCATTAATAATAAAATTTATGTAGGTATCTCTAATTTCCAATAAGAACCATAAAATAAACTTGTTGAATTTGAACACATTGGAAAATTATTATTTGCTTTAAGTAAATAGAAAATATTAATTCATTAACTATTCCGGTCCTCACTTATGGTCCATTGACTTTTTATTTTTTAAGTAGTTAATTAATTTCAAGATAATCACTTAAGAACTTTTGGTTTATTCGTAAAAATTACCAACATTATTAAAGATTTAGATAGTTTTTAAATATTAGGAGTAAAAAATAATAGTTAAAACGTCCTCATAAAGAAATGATAGATTTCCAAATGCAAATAACAAGCCTATGTATTAAATTCAATCATATATGTTGCGATCTAGAAAAATCCAATTCAATATAAATCAATAATTCGTTAATTTCCATTTGATTATAATAATGTAACGACAACGCATCTTCGTTCCGTGTCATAGAAGTTAATAAAAATCCCGATGTCATGGAAGAGAGGTGGTCCATTCTGGATTCCTCATTCATGATCATAAGCGAGACTTCATACGGTGTACCCGTGCCAACAATAATAATTTGGATTATGTTCACGACGTGACGCTATTTTCAATGGTAAACGATCTCTATTTGCGGCCGTATGTAACCGCCATTTGAAATTCTTGATCAGTTAGTCGATGAAAAGTATATAGAATCGAATTATTGGGCGATTAGGCTGCTTTCTATAATTGGGTGTGCACGGGGCGACGACGTAGCTCGTGCCACCACCGATCCCCTCCACCTGTTTGCAAGAGCGGTTGTGGGGAGACGTTCGGACCGATACGCAGATTCGCATTGCCGAGTTTCAACCCCGAAACGGTGGATCTTTGTTGCCGGGGACGTTCACACGGAATCCCCTTTTACGTGTACACGGTGGTGGATTCGACTACTTGCTGGAGTAAAGAGTTCGCTACTTTGGTGATCGTGCTACGATGATGACAACGGGCAGAATTATCAAAGGTGATTCGCTTTGTTACGTCTAAACACATGAGAGATCCAACTTTTGTACTAAATAGATATTGATCGCCTAGACAGTAATAATGCTAATTATTTACCTTATTATGATAATACGCAAAAAATAACTTTGTCTACGGGAAAATTGAAGTGAAATTTAAAAATCGAATCTTATATAAACTTTTGTTTTGAAGAGTGTATTGTAATTAATGTTAACGTTGTTTTAATTTGTATGTGCTGTTGTACGCTCTTAAGAATGTAATATCACGTGAAACATTTGCTAGACATTTAGATTCGCAAATGTGAAAGTTAAATAAATAACGATAAATTGAAATAATGATAAATTTACAGGTACAACAGCACAAAGACTGGAGATTGGACAAGCATTTAAAATGTGGACCACACTAAAGGGAAGAGCCAGTGATTCACATGATTATGTTCCTGGATGAGCGTGCATCTATCTTCGATTAATTGCCAACTATGATTTCGTAAAGGAGTCCAATTGGATAATCCTGGTAATTTCAATAGAAGCAATGAATTCTTCCCCTTGTATAATTCAGCTCCATGCATGGTAGATGATATGTACTACTACCCCTCCCAAAATATTTATTGTCTCTAGGTAGACACGAGTGCCGCTAGATTTTTATAGAAAAAATGTAATAAAAAACATTTTGCTAGATATTTTTTTAATTTTTAAAACCTCGATCCCTCTCATATCCTTCGAATTTTCTGCGTTTGTTGCGTTTTCACCTTGCGAAACTGATGTTGGATTTTTTTGATAATGATTGAATTCACCCTTATTATTTACCTTCTTCAAAATGATTAGAGAAAAGAATCAAAGACAAAATTACCTAATCTCTCCTTTGTTAAAATGTATTTTAATCATATTCGAGTGTTGGGTACCGTTTTCATTAGACAAGCCAATTATATTTGAGAACGTTTCTTAATTCGATTGAAAGCTATTATACTAATGATACGATGTTACTGCAAATTGCTTGACCTCTAAATACTCTGCATTCAGGGGATCGTTAAATGAAGAGCTACGATTTGATTCGTTGTAAGAATATAAGACTGATTTATTCCGTAGATGTAAACTTATATACAAAAGATGACGTATATGTTCAGACGATGTTCGTCGGAAAAAATCTCACCGCCACGTAGAAACAATACCGACAGGATCGAACTAACGAAGACGCAATTAGCGAAGCGGTGCGGCAGTGTATGGTACATTTTGGGAAAAGGTGTAGCAATAACAATATCGGTAATAATAATAATAATTTGAATCGAGCATAACTGCTTAGAAGCACTTGCGGTGAACGATGCCAGGGCCAGATTCGTCGTATTCCTGCTTGGAGATCCACATCTGTTGGAAGGTGGACAGGGAGGCCAGGATGGATCCACCGATCCATACGGAGTACTTCCTCTCGGGGGGAGCGATGATCTTGATCTTGATGGTCGATGGGGCGAGAGCAGTGATTTCCTTCTGCATACGGTCGGCAATACCGGGGTACATGGTGGTACCACCAGAGAGCACGTTGTTGGCGTACAGGTCCTTACGGATGTCGACGTCGCACTTCATGATGGAATTGTACACGGTTTCGTGGATACCGCAGGATTCCATACCCAAGAAGGACGGCTGGAAGAGGGCCTCAGGGCAACGGAACCTCTCGTTACCGATGGTGATGACCTGTCCATCGGGCAACTCGTAGCTCTTCTCGAGGGAGGTGCTGGCGGCGGCGGTGGCCATTTCCTGTTCGAAGTCCAGGGCGACATAGCAAAGTTTCTCCTTGATGTCACGGACAATTTCACGCTCAGCCGTGGTGGTGAAGCTGTAGCCTCTCTCGGTCAGGATCTTCATGAGGTAGTCGGTCAAGTCGCGACCGGCCAAGTCCAAACGGAGGATGGCATGGGGAAGGGCGTAACCTTCGTAGATGGGGACGGTATGGGAGACACCATCACCGGAGTCCAAAACGATACCGGTAGTACGACCGGAGGCGTACAGGGATAGGACGGCCTGGATGGCAACGTACATGGCCGGGCTGTTGAAGGTTTCGAACATGATTTGGGTCATCTTTTCACGGTTAGCCTTTGGGTTCAGGGGGGCCTCGGTGAGAAGGACTGGGTGTTCCTCAGGGGCAACACGCAATTCGTTGTAGAAGGTGTGATGCCAGATCTTCTCCATATCATCCCAGTTGGTGATGATACCGTGCTCGATCGGGTATTTCAGGGTGAGGATACCTCTCTTGCTCTGGGCCTCATCGCCGACGTAGCTGTCTTTCTGACCCATACCGACCATCACACCCTGATGACGGGGGCGTCCGACGATCGAGGGGAAGACGGCGCGGGGAGCGTCGTCTCCGGCGAAACCGGCTTTGCACATACCGGATCCATTGTCGACAACAAGGGCTGCTACTTCGTCGTCACACATTTTGTTTTTTCTTCGTTTCTATCGCTCTGTAACAAAAATCTTTCTTGGTTCTTCGTTGCTTTTCTTTCGATATTGTGGTTGAGTGATAATCAAAGTAACGTTCGCCGTATTTATTTATCTCGTCAAATACCTATCTGCGCCTTCAATGTTTTTATCCGAAACATTAAGTCGCTTCGATTTCTTCAGTTAAAAGAATCAAAGTTTCATGATGCGTAACACTGACACTCATTCACGAGGAATATTTTGTCATAAGTGTATCCACCGGAAAAAATTCATTATTGGAAACAAACCATTGATTCCGAAAATTAATTCAAACTTCTTATCATTTCAGAAAGAGAGAGGGGGGAGAGAGAAAAAGAGAGAAGTGCTACCATATATTCCAAGTACTAAGTTAAAGTATAATAATTTCAAATATTAAAAAATCGAATTCGAGCTTGATTTCCATCAACACGTCAATAAGGACCAACCCAGTAAAACGTACCAACAAAATTGTTCGCCGTATAAAAAAAAAACGTTTAAATATTAAAAAATCCAAAGATATAAAACAAGAAACACGCGAAAAAATACAGATAGCGTGCCCAGCGGAAAATAAATAATATTCGTTTCCAATAACTTTATCATATAATACCAATAAAGTATATACCGAAGAGAACAAAGTAAATAAATGTGGTAAAGTGTAAAAACTGTCAAGAGATTCGATGAAGTTTTCACGAAATGCGCCGACGCTCGCCAGAATTGACCCAGTTGCCTATAAAACGATAGGCAAGCGGCCCCAGCGTCGCGGCACTATTTTCGTGCGCCGCGACGCTAACTATAGACGTACGACCGACGGACGATCCCTAATAAGTGCAAGCGACGATTATGGCGGGCACCACCGTCTTCGTTCGCGAACGGCTCGGCTCGTGGCCACGAAGGATAAAGCATAACGACGAGGCCCGC